TGGTTATCATAAGAATAAAAAGTATAAACATTTTGTTGAGTGGCATAAGCTACCAATTAAAAAAGAATAATAATATGAGATTATTAAAAAAATAAAAATTATATATAAAAAAAAAATTTTACAAGATAATATATAAAATTTACAAGACAAAAATAATTACCATTAGAATTGTTTTCATTTATATACAGCATCTCATTTTTAAGAGGAGGAGTGGTAGAAGTTGTTGGGGAAGCTTGCTCCACACCGTTAGAGATAGCATAAGGGTGGTATAAACATCCTTGAGACGAATGACGACGATTTGCTAATATATAAATTTAAATTAAAAGGTTACGTAAATATATATATAATATATACATAACTTCTATAAATCTATATAACCTATAATCTATATGATCTATATAAGATATATAAAATATATAAGATATATAAAATATATAAGATATATAAAATATATAAGATATATAAAATATATAAAAATATATATAAAATATTTAAAATATATAAGATATATAAAATATAAAAGATATATATAATATACATTTAGTTGAATCATCAATATCAAAGTCAATTGCGGATTTAATTAGACATTTGTGCGGAGAAATTTTGTCTAAGTGGCAATAAAATAGATAAAAAGTAATAAAAATAAGATAAGAGTAAATATGACGAGATATAGTAATAAGGTAAATAATATATAAGGACAAATTAAAAGGTAGACAATAAAATTTTAAAATAAATTAGGAAAGGACGAGTAAATCAAACATACCTTTAAAGACAAAATCGCCAAGGTGCCATTTATCGATAGGAATATTATATTCATTACAGATGATCATATTTACAGGAACTTTGGACCTATTAGCACTTTTAATGTGATCTTGGCTAGGCACGATACCAACAAGTTCATAACGAGAATCAGGTAAAGCTACTTGATGAGTTTCGACCATTAAATCACCAAAAGCCAGATTAAGGATGACATTATTAGGATTTGGTAATTCAAGGAATACTTCAACAGTAAGGCGAGTACCGACATAACCATGTTTTGGAAAAAATTTTAGAGTTCTTGGACGATTGGATAAGCTTGAAGTTTGAGATATACCGGTAAAGGAGAAATTATGGAAAGAGACAATAGAGGGTGTTGCAGGGGTTGAAGGCGTTGATGGAGTAGATGTGGAGGACATTATAGTAGTGTTAGGATGCGGAGAAGCGATAACAGAAAGCAGGTCACCCTTATTAAACTGGTAATAATTCATATTAGATTGAGATGGAGATGCGACATAAATTGAGTGATGTGCCGACGAATCGTAATAATCGGGGACCTCTCGTGTGTTTTGGATAGCTATTATTTTTTTTTTTAAGGAAACGGTCACGATATTAGAAAAAAATGATGATCACATTGTGCAGTACCGTAAAATTAATTTTACCTAAGCTTTCCATTATCATAAATTACATATAAGATTGACTATAGGTAGTTACGAAAGGACTTTTCTTTACAATTTCTCGTCTATAATTGAGCACAGCTCAAGGCAAGACCAAGAAGGTGTTGATTCGGTATTATGTAGAAGTTTCTTTTTCCTATTTTTAAAATTTTTTTTTTCCTATTTTTTATTTTTTTTTTCTTCTTAAAGGAAACTACTTAATTTGGACAATTATGGAACTAAAAAAAAAAAAAAAAAGAAAGAATTGGTATTTAATAACGCAGATTCTTTAGAGAGATCATTGTTGTTAAAAAAGAAATATAATATAATAAATAGACTAAAGTTGAAAATGAAAGATATAAAGTGAGGCGATCAGCATCTCGTGATCGAAAATAAAAGACCTTGTATTAATGACTATTAAAGACTATTCAAGATTATTGAAGATTATTGGAGATTATTGGAGACTATACTTGATGAACAAAAAACCAGACTCACGATTTTCTTTTAACAACAAAAACCATAATGACGAGTATAATAAAAATTCTAATGTAATGATAGCTAAAATTTACATACCAAGAAAAGTCACGTCGTTAATCTCTCTCCAAGATCGAACAAAAACTCGAATATTTTTTTTTTCAAAATTTTGCAAAACTCTAAAAAAAAACGAACGAAAATAAAACCGATAATGAGGGATATCACGAATTGTCAGAAAGATAAATAGAAAGGAATCTATTTTTCGTTTTGACAACCGAGGTCGAGTTAGAGATAGTGATATAATTTCGGATAGGAAGGTGAAAAAGTGAGAAAGAAATACTTCTTGAATGAAAAAGTTCAAATTGTTGTCTATTTATTAAGATCTTCAATAACAAATGTTGCGAAATATTTAACATATATTTAACATCTATCTATTTGTATATATACTTTAAAAAAAAAAAAAAAAAAAAAGTAATCAAGTTAATAATAAATCAATTCAGAAACAGGTTACTTTTTAATTATAAAAATTTATATCATTTCATTAACAGAGTTTTTGATGTATAAATCATACATTAATTTAACGAACTACCACCAGAAACGAAAAAAAACTCAAGATGCACTTGTGCACTGACAAAATGTTAACGTGCCAAAAGCCACAATAACATAAATTTTCCTAAAAAGTCGACATTAGTCAAGGGATCCGAGTGTTTTTTTTTTTTATATTATCGATATTTTTACTTCGGATATTTTGGAAAACAAACTGACACAAAAATCAATAAATCTGCATCGATCGCATAATTGAAAACTATGAACAGGTTATAGGAGAGGATTTCCCAAATCCCCAGAATAAAAAAACAATTGTAATTGAGACAATAAGTTCATGATTACACAAAAAAAAAAAAAAAAACATTTTTGGAATATTGAAGGTAAGCATATTATAAAAAAAAAAAAGTACTTTTTTACGTTTATCAATCATCAAATTAAAACTTTATATTTGGAAATGGACGATCAGTTTATCGTTAGTGTGTAAACTTTTTTTTTATCATCAATATATCAATAATAAAAAACAGACACCGACGATATCTTCGTGGTACCAACAATATCATGATATTTCACACCGTCTCTTTTACAGAAACATGTCTTTCTTTAATTTTTGTAAATTCTCTAATGATTCCGATTCTGTATCTTGAAACATACTCTAATATATTATATATATTATATACATTATATAAGTTATATATATTAAATATATTATATATATTCTATACATTATATATATTATATACATTATATACATTATATATATTATATAAATTATATAAATTGCATTACTCAATACTACTCAATTCAATTCTTTTATATATTCAGTGTTATTATTCAATATATATTATTATATATTATGATTCAATTCTTTTATTTAAATCAGTATATTGTTATTTTATTATATACTAGCATTTGTTTAAATCGATGTCTAGTAGAAATTTTTCGCATTGTCAAATGTGGCTTGATATTTTCAAGAATAAATTTTTAAAACATTTAAAATAGGATATCATGCCAGTTAACAGTTGGAACCGGTTAGCACGTATCACCATTACTAAATTGTCGGAGCTTCTCTCCTTTCGATAACCTTTACCAATAACCATACTCCCGGAAGCGAGAAGTTATGAATGCATGGTTACCGGTTTGTCATACCTAGAAAAATCAAACACCCCTACAAAAAAACAACAAAAACAACAAAAAAACAACCAAAAATAAAATTTTCCAAATGTTTGTAAATATTTGTATTTTGTACGTATGTTAAAAAAAAAGGTTACATTGTACAAGAATATTTGTTAATTTTTTTATAGATAAAAGTATCAAAATATAGAATTGCATAGTAAATAAAAAGAAGACTTGTTTAGTAATACAAATGATTTGTAAACCAGGACAAATCTGGCATACAGCGATCAAACATTCTACGTACAAAGGTAAATAAATGCGTAGGGAATGTCCATATTTTCATAACTTTATCAGTATTAATCAGGCTGAAAATCAAACCATCTTACTTATTTTTCCGATTTAATACTGATACGATCAAACGTTGATTTACAAATATTATCCCCTTTAATCTATTTGCTTTACTGCATGCTTTACTGTTTGCTTGTTACTGTTAGTTAAAATTTAATCTTATTATTTGTTACTGTTAGATTTTCCATTATTTTCAACTTATTAAGCAACTTATTAAGCTTATTTCTAGAAATTATAGTAATTATAGTTGTTAGGATAATAAATTTGAAACTGCTCCGTAAACAAATACTTATGATCATGTATATCATGTATATCATGTATACATGTATATCATGTATTAGCAAGGAGATAGTTAATTCAAGGGTCTTGTCATTTTTTTTCTTTTATCGTTAATATAGTAATTTATAGTAATCCGTACATACAGTGTTTGTAAGCTATCATGTCTGATGTAGAAATGACACGGACCACTTAACAGGTTCGTAAAAAGGGTTGTAAGGAAACAATTGCTACGTAATCTTAAATTGTGCTTAGGAAATCAAATCTTTAAATTTGGTAGTGGCTGAGTTTTGATATATGCATTATATTTGATTTGATGGTCTTTATCAACAAATAATAAATGAAGTCTAACTAAATGAATTCATTTTTGATACTTTTATCTATAAAAAAATTAACAAATATTCTTGTACAATGTAACCTTTTTTTTTTAAC